GTTCTTTTAATTTCTTTTTACAATCCTCCACTATTGCTTCTTTCTGTGGCAACATTTCACTTAGTCTCCATATAAAAGAATTAGATTTTATTTTATAAAGCAAACTCACAGGATTATGATTTTAAAAAAGTCTTTGGTAATATCTCTACTTTAGTAACCTTAGTAGCCAAGTTCTTTGAAGTCCAAATCATGTCTATTCTTGAGAAGGATCTATGTCTTTCAGAAAAGTAGGTATACTCTTTTGAATTGTCATTTTTCTGTCTCCATATATCAACCAGCCCTAAGTTGTCCATCAAATAATAAAAAGAAACTTTTAGTAATTTGTCTTGAGTGATCTTACTATTTTTCTCATAAGTTCTGTCCAGTTGTGGGGAGATCACTCCATTCCAATCCCCCACCAAACTGTATAATGTTAGATTGAACTGTAAGATTTCCTATAAGCTGGAAAGGATCTCTGATCAGATCTGCCAATATTATGCTTGGTAGAGGTTTGGCAATTCACTCTGCTGTGTTCTCAAAACTTGTCTAGTGTATAGGTTTTTACATTTTATTACTTGTTGCGTTTACAGTATATACCATTGGAGACAACAAAAATTACTCCTGACAAGTAAATGGTACAACAATATAATACAAAACTCTTTGAATACTATATTAGAAATATTTATTTTTTAGTTGCAGTATTGGCATATAGCCTTCCAGAAAACAAACCATAGATAGTTAATGAAAGGATATCATAAAGATAAAAAATACAATCTAAACCCATAAATCAATCTGTTTATGAAAATTATTAGCAGCAGAAAGTCCAAATAACAGTAAGTAAAAAGATGACTGGCTGTGTTGTGTTGATAATGAATGATAGTGTTGTGTTGATAATGAATAATAACTTCTGAAAATATAACAATCTTGTGTAAAAGTGTAAACTTTCCTCTTTTGGTTCAGAAATATATTTTTCCCATGTTGTTTTCTTGCCAGATGCAAGCTCTCCTCTTTAATGTCTGTGTATCAGGCAACTGTCAACAACATAGAATAAGGATTTATAAATTGTACTCTGGAGCTAGCTTCCATAAAGCCCACCTTGTAATCTTTATCATCAGAAATAATATAAAGCATTATGGCATTTATATATTTACTACAGCATAATGTTTCATGGATCAATGTGCATTTCATTAGGGAAACAATACAATTAAATTGCAGAGAAATGTAAAAAGTATAGTTGGTGAGCATTCATTAAAGCTGAAATGTCATACCTATCAAATGCCTGATCGTTGCAGGAATTAGGGCAACTGTGTTTCTGCTTCAGAAGACCCTTAGTCTGACTCAAGCAGATGGAGGAGGAAAGATAGAGGACAAGGAGCAGAGCTGCTCCTAGTCCTTTTCAAAAAAAAAAAGGCCCAAATGTAGTTTGGGATGGTTGAGTCTAGTCACCATTTAAATCCCTCAAAGTATGCAGGGGTGCTGTTATCTTAGTGATCCTGTGGAAGTTAAAAAGGTGACCAAGTTCAGCAGTTTTAGGTAATGGTGGTAGCTAGAGTGTAGGGAGAGGCAATGGTAGACCTCCCCTCCAGATGTTCCTTCTAGACCCCTGTTCCAGCCACTCTCTTTGGTGAATAGAATTGGTTCTGCCCTGTGGCCTTCCTGCACCTCACAGGGCAGTCTTCTGCCCTTAGGTCAGCTTGTAGGATGCCATCTCATCTCCAGAGTAGACAGAAAATTCAACAGCCAGTCAAGCTGACTTCTACATGAGAAGGCTTTTCCATTATTTCCTGCAACTGTGTCTTGGGTCTACTCCTTTATTCATAACAAACTCGGTCTTTCTCTTTGGTGAAAGAAAATGTGGGACCTTGGGCTATCTCCACATCCACAATCTGGATGTCCACGGAGAGTATTCAGACGGGACTTGTTCCCTTTTATTTTTTTCTATGTCTATTTAATTGATTTCTTTAATCGTGTCCCAGGTAAATGACTTTTAAAAAATGCAGGTATTTGAGTAAAACTGGCATTATTGATTTTGAATACCTAATTGGCTAAGGGACTAATTGCTATTCTGGACAAATAAACACTTGTGTTGAATATAGATAGGAAGGGTAGAAAAAGGGAAATGAAACAATCATTTTAAGAAACAAGCTTCCTCTCGGCTTTCTGATTTTTATTTTGCTTTCTCCCCCTTGGCTTTTACATCTTCCTGGACTGTTCTGGTGTATATAAAAATGTGTATCTCTGGGAAGAGGATCTCTGTTTGGTCTCAACTGGTCTGAACTGGGCTTCTTCTTTCAGAGGCCGAGAATACTTTGTGCTACAAAGACTTTAATGAAGTCTCAGGGACCTGCAGCAACCTGTTGGGAGCTGAAATTTCCAAGGAAGACTGCTGCCTAAACCATCAGTATGGTTTCCAGTTGAAACAAGGTGGGCCCTGCCAGTCCTGCCGGTAAGTGAAACACCAACAGTTCTGGTTAACCGCACACTGACTGTGCGCTGCACAAGTGGTCCTAAGTCTACCTTCTTTGAACCCTCCGAATATTGTCTGCTGGACGTCTGCCCCTAAGATTGCTTATCCCATCTCTGCTATAGGGGGAGAGGCTGTAGGATAGCAGGTGACATGCAGATCTCATCTGCAGTCCTAGCTATCTCCAAGCAAGGCTAAACAAATTCCTGCCCAAAGATTCAAAAGCTCCTGTTAGTCACTGAGAACAATATTCCACTGTATGCCCCATCAACGGAATTGTTTAATTTATACCCTGCCTTCCTGTTTATCCTTGAACCACCTCTAAGGGCAGCTTACTTCAATTAAAAAAAAATGCAGAGTATAAAACGTAGCAAGAATATTGATGCAGTAAGAATCAAAACCCAAATTAAAACCAGTTGTTAAAATTATTAATTAAAATTGTTAATTTTAAACTTTGGTCTGTGTTCATGCCTCATGGAAAGCCAAGATTTTTTAAACCATGGTTTGTTGAACATGTCATAATGAGCCGCAAATAACTGAAAACCCAGTCTGTATAAGGCAGTTTCCTATACAGTGGTACCTCTACTTACGAACGCCCCTACTTATGAAATTTTCGAGATACGACCAG